CCTGGTCTGTAGGTTCCCTGATCAGAGATTTTGTGTGCACAAAACCATGGTCCTAGTACAGAAACATGTTTCCTGGTATAAAAGTTTTAAGAAGCAGAATATTACTTGTCTGTGTTAAAATGTTTTTTAAAAAACACCTTTGAATGAAAGAGCATAACAACCTGCATTTCTGAGATGGGCTAAATAAGAAAAACTTCAGCCTGCTTCTGAATTCCTTGTTAGTTTCTTGCTAATTCTTTGTGTCCTTTCCCTTGCAGGAAGAAAACCTGGGAAACTTGATCCATGAAACAGAGTCTTTCTTTAAAACAAGAGACAAGGAATATCAAGAAACAATAGGGCAGATAGAGGTAAGGAAGTTGGTCATGACAATATGAATTGTTTCTAGTGGCTAAAACACTTGTGGTGTTCTGGTCCAGTCCACCCACAGATAAAAGGTGGAATGTCTCTATATCTAAGAAATCAAAGGTGTTTTCCTTTGTTTTTTTTTTCTAAATACCATTTGCTGTCAGCCCTGTTGTTAAGTAAGCATAGATCTGTAGCTGGTCGAGAGAGAAACTACAGAACGAAAGGGGGAAAAAATGCACCATTATTTTTTCCCCTATTTGTCCTGTGTTTCCACCATCACACTGGGAAATACTTTGACAAAAGGTGGCCTCGGAGGTTGCCAGACACAACAGCTGTAGTGTCTCAAAGTCTTTGCCCTGCCTAGAATATCCCTTCACTCATTACTGCATGTCGACAAACAAGGTGCCAAGCAGCAGAAAAAACACTTCAGTCCTGTTTAAAACCCGTGTTGAGCTTTGACTAAAATACACTTCCTAACCTGATAAACCTTTGGCAATGCACAACACTGAGGTCAAGCATGTATTGTGCAGGTGTTTTGGTCTGGCTCTGGGCAGCACTTTAGCATCCCCAGCTGTATGTAAAGTGGAGTGAAGCTGGGAGGCCCTGCTAGCAACTCTCCTTAGGCTGATTATTTTTCCTTCTTTCTTCCAGCTGGAATTGGCCACGGCCAAGAGTGACATGAATCGTCACCTTCATGAATACATGGAAATGTGTAGCATGAAAAGGGGCCTGGATGTCCAGATGGAAACCTGTCGTAGGCTCATCAAAGGCTCTGCTGACAGGTAGTAAAGTCTTACCCACTCAACCTGTGTGCCTCAAGAATTAATTTTTCCTGCCAAGTTGTTTTAAAGGCAATAGTATTTTGTCCTGGAGCTTTGTCCTTTCCATCATCTCATTTTGTTCAGGGTCAGGGATCAGTCTTAAAAGGAACACTGTTAACAGGGTGTAATTTCTACAAAGTAACACTTGGAAGGATTCAACGCTTGTTGGTAAAAACAAAAGTTGTAATATGAATGAACCAAACCTCTCTTGTAACTTGGAGAGGTACTACGGAACTCCTAAACAAATCCCACAGTTAAATCTTGACTTAAATGAAGAACTTGAGTTTTAATCTACTCATGCTTTAATAACCCATTTATATTGATCCTGTTCATCTATTTGAGCCTTTGAAACTCAGATAATAGACTCTTAAAAGGCTACATAAATTGGTACAAACAGTAATAAAACTTAGAGATAAGCTGAAGTCTGAAGGCTCCAGGGAGACCTTAGAGCACCTTCCAGTGCCTGAAGGGGCTCCAGGAAAGCTGGGGAGGGACTTGGGACAAGGGCAGGGAGGGATGGGATGAGGGGGAATGGATTACAACTGGGAGAGGGAGATTGAGGTTGGACATGAGGAGGAAATTCTTTGCTGTGAGGGTGGTGAGAGCCTGGCCCAGGTTGCCCAGGGAAGCTGTGGCTGCCCCATCCCTGGCAGTGTTGAAGGGCAGGTTGGATGGGGCTTGGAGCAGCCTGGGCTGGTGGGAGGTGTCCCTGCCCATGCAGGGGGGTTGGAACTGGATGATCTTGAAGGTCCCTTCCAACCCAAAGCATTCCATGATTTTACTGTGGGGTGGTGTTTCTTGACTCTTGCTCACCCACCATGCACATCGTCTCTTAAAAGAACAAAAGACAAACTATTTTTTGAGTCTTCAAGACTGTCCATATTATGGATGGTGTCTCTGTAGGATGTTAATTTGGCTTAATTTCCATTTCCCCATCCATACACCCCCAGGGCATTTGGGGCAGGAGATGCCAGGGGTGGGGTGGCACAGGATGCTGAAGTGCACTGCAGATATTTACAGTAAACCCAAAGTTTAATCTTAATAAAGGATATTTTAAATTGTTGTGGCAAGTGAAAGTGACCATTTTCTTTAAAGATTCCTCTTTAATTTTATTTTTCTCATTCTGTCATTGGTGGGGTTTTTTCTCAACCTCTCTCTGCATTTTTCTACAGAAATTCTCCATCTCCCAGCTCTGTAGCCAGCAGTGACTCAGGAAACACAGATGAAATTCAGGATGAGTTGGACAGAGAGACGGATGTGGAGCCCATGGTCAGCTGATACAAATTTGGAGCATTCCAGTAAAAAGGGAAGATAGAAGAAAAGATTAAAAACCAACAGACTGATGAGGGGAAGACAAAAAAAAAAGAAAGAAGACTTGTAAGCCCTTGCATAGGGTTTCTGAGGATTCATTCCTACACGCATCCCCACCCAAGGATTGGTGCTGTAAATTTCTATTGTTATACAAATCAGAAACGCAGAGTCCTGTAAGAAAACACGGGGTTTTAATTGTGCCTTTGCCCCAAGCTGAGCCACTTTGAGCTCCAGTGGAATATTAATAGCAGGTGTTTTTATAAAAAATAATATTAAAAAAAATAATAATCTGGTAGCAGCAGAGAATGGTGCTGCAAAGGCTCTGGGTGTTCCAGTGAGCTCATGGTTTTCTTGAACTGATTGGCAAAAGGAACACTGGCAAAATGAGAAGAAAACTCAAGACAATTATGGTGCAATTACACAAAAAAGAATGCCTCCAAATCGAACTGTAAGCATTTAAAAATAAGAGTGGGTTTAGAGGCAGCTTTTAGGATGAAGCAGACAATATTCAAAGGAATCTCTTCATTCCATCGTTCTGGGTGAAGGAGCCTTTGAGATCTGTTCAGGCTTGCTGCTGGACTCCAGAAGCAGCTGGTCTCAGCTGGGTGGCAAAGCAGGTGGGCAAGGGAGGGCTCATGGGGTGGGACTATCACTGACAAACTACTATGCAAAAACAAAAAAAAAAGCTGGCCTTATTTATATGGAATGTTTGGTCCCTGCTGGGCTACAGTTACCCCTTGGGGAAAGGAAAGCTAAACCCACATTTGCACATGTTAGTTTTCTGTAGAGCTTCTTTTGGGGAGGAATGTGCTGTTAAAAGGCCTTTGTTTTCAGGGGTTGGATTGAGAGGGGAATCAGCCCTTCAGTTCCTGTGTTGTTTTGTGTTCTCTTTTATCAGGATTATTTTAATATTTTTTTTTTTTAAACCATAGTGTTTGCAGATTTTTACTTTGCTGCCAGGGAGAGAACTCAATTTTATGCTGCTTTTGTGATGTTTAGAGTGGGATAGATGAAGCATCAGGATAAACTGACATAGATGTAAGGCTTGAGACATGACACTGGGAGAGTTCCAAGACCACTGTTCTTCAGTAAAGCTGAACACCCAAAAAATACTGTAATTAGGGTGTAGTAAAATTAACCTCAAACTACTGCTGCCATAGAATTAGGGAGGAACAGCCACCTACTTTCTCTGTGAGAAGGTGAGAAGACCTGGGCTTTGTCAATCTTTCTGTATTTTTACACAGGAGAAGGCAGCACCAACAGTCAGATCCCTTGGTGGTATTTGAGGAAACTCTGACATCATCAAGCTGTTTGTGGTTATTAATGGGAATTGTAGCACCTCAGCCAGGTAGAAACAGGGTATAAACCTCAGCCAATAATTTCTTGTTTGTTTTTTAGACTAAGATTGAAAGTGTAGCTTACACTGCCTAAAGGTAACTGTGTAGTTAAGCAGTAGTTGCAAGACTTGGAGTAAATACCAAATGTATTTGTTTTCCTGCCAGGAAGCTTAGAAACTGCTGTGCAGGAGCAGTGCTAGGACTGGACAGGGAAATACCAGATTTAAGCACCCTCTCAGTGTTATGTGAAGGTAAGCTGGCCAATTTTTTTAGCTTCCTGAGTATTGTTTCCAAGCCTTTCTTCTGTATTGATCTGAAGCAGCAGGGTTGCAGTGTAAGCAGATAGCCAGGATAGATCAGTCTTGTTTTCTTCCAAAAAGAGGATCTCAGTGGACTTCTGCTCACACTGTGGGTGCAGTAATGTCTTCTCAATGTGAGTCTCCTGGAGTTGCATTGCTGTTCAGATCCATCTCCTGCTTGGACACAATGGTGCTTTTTGGCCATGTGAATCAAATGGGCTCCCTGTGTTCTTCAAAGAGGGGGGGAATACTGGGATGATCCATTGGATCCACAGTCTGGAAGGCAATCCACAACTGATGGTTTCCTCTCCATCCAAGAAAACAGATCCTTGTGGTTTCCTTCCTGATGTAAATAGTGCAGTTATTCATAGAGTAGCTAGCAACTACTTGGTTCCTGTGGTGTGAGGCACGGGCTTAGTCAAAGCTAAATAACTTTTATCTGGAAAAGAAACCTTATTGCAAAGTGTTCATTCCTATTATTCCTTAGGTGGCCAAAGTGGTAAATGTCATGTTCACTAGGGCTGCAAGTTGGGGTGCGGGGCAAGAGATATATTTTTTATGAGGGGGCTGGGACTGCATGTTTTCAATAAATAGTCTTAAGGTTTTCAAGCCTGGATGAATTTCAGCTGCTAATTAATACATAGTTTCTCAGGAGGCTGAGAAACAATCTGCCAAAGCTGAATATCTGTATGCTTTAGTGACTTTGGAGCAGGAACTGTGAAGCAATCTTCTTGCACACAGTGGATCAGCTCTCCTCAGTTCTGAAATGCTCTTTGGTACTGGAGAAAAGGAGCCATTTTAATGTCTGTCCGGCTCAGCTGCTGGGTTCTTTTTCTGGAAAACTCAGTGTCCTAGTAGGAAAGAGGCTGGGTGTTGTTGAAGCTGGTATGTTGAGGGTAGGAAAGAGTATCCTCAGGTTTAACAGAGCCAAGTGAGGAAGCAGCAATTAATCTGTCAGAACAAGCTGTAACCCACAGTTTATCTCCTAGCCAGAGCTCTGAGGAGCATCGGTACCAGGGTTGCATTTGGTGGTGAAGTGTAAGGGATGTGGGTCTATAGTAGAGGGTAGAGAAATAATGTGTATGGTGGTGATGTGTATGCCAGTAAATGACCACGGTTGTTGGTGGCTATTTCTTATATCCATATATAATCCATTTGTAAAGAAGAAGAGGTGTTTTCATACTTGGGATTGGGGTTTATTTTCATTTAAGGCTGTATAGGACTCGGTGGATTGACCTCTTGGGAGATACCAGGGTTGGTCCTTGGTGGTTTCTGGGTCTTGGTGGTCCTGGCAGGTCTTTGGTTTAGTTCCAGGCCATGCTGCTGATGTAGCTGACAGTGGTCCTGTCCTGTTGCATTGAACCACTCTGGAGAAACCAGATCAAAAGCTTACCAGAAAAAAAAACACATGATGAAAATGCTGGAAATTATTTTGATGACCTCTTTCTTTTTCCTTTGTAAAGCTGTAAATACTTTGTTTTTGTTTTCTATTCTTAACGTGGTGTCATATTGACACTTTTTTAGACCTACAATCAGAAAATTCTCCTCGTTGTTTCTCATTTTTTTAAAGGGGATTTCAAGGAAGCAAATTTCTTTTTGCTTGTTTGCTGTGTAATAATAGATCAAATTCCTAAAATGGGTTTGTAAAAAAACAAACAACAAACAAACACAACATGTTTTCAGTAAACAAATGGCAGTTGCTTTTGTGAATGCATGTTCAAAAATGCCCAAAGAATAATGTGATACAAACATTTGGTTTTTTCAGAGACTTAGTAATTATCATATTAGTTCACATGAGGAAAAAAGAAAATTATTTAAAAAAATAAATGTGTTGGGGGAGGGGAAATTTAATGAGACTCATCTAAACTAAATGTGTAATTATTTATAAAAAAAACCCACATGGTAGATATTCTATTTTTATGAGAGATTTTTAAAGTGCAAACAGAATTCTGTTAAATGCAATGATTCTCTGGTAAAGTATCCTCTGCCCTGATGGGATTCTAAACCCTCAAGGTGGAGCACCCATCGATTGCTTGGAGCCAGAGGGAAAGCAGAACACATTAACAGCTTTTCTGCAACTGCAGAATTACTGCGGGGTATTTTTTTCTTCTCCCTGATGGTGAGGAATTCTGCTGGAGAGGGTTGAGGACCTCTGTTTGCTCTCCTAAATTCCAGGGGGGAATTGCAGCACAGTAGTTAAAAATCTACCCCAGAGTGGTTGGAATATATTTCCTACACCAGTATAAATTGGAATTAAATTGATAAAACAAACTAATAGATCAGATTTGTGCCTGAATATAGATCTGAAGCTGCTAATAGGAGGTTTTATTGTGTTCAATTTTTTTGCCTAACCATTCCTGCCAGCAAAAATACAGGTTGGGTCTTGGGTCCAAGGCTGGCTGAGGGAAAGGCCCCGTGTTCAGCGGGTGCTCTTGCCACAGCGCTGCCCTCTCCTTCAGGCAGCAATTTCCTCATGTTTCCTTTGGCTCTGGAAAAAGGAGAAAGAATGTTTGTGTTGGAGTGTGCCAGGAAGGGAATTGCAGTACTGGGAGGTCTGTGTTTTCACCTTTAAGAGTGTTTCATTTTAGAGCTGAGCATTTTAAAGCACGATTTCTCACCGCAAAATGATCTGTGCTTCCGCGGTGGTGTCATCCCCTCAGGAGGGTTTTCCACGTGTTGCTTCAGGACTTCTGGGTTTTTTAAACTCTTTTGCACGGGTCCAGGGCTTGGAAACACGCAGGTTTTCAAAAGCTTTGCCTTCAGTGTTAAGTCACTTGGTTCTTTTTTTTTTTTTTTTTTTTTAAGCTTTTAGCAGAATTTCACTTCTGTCAGTTTTGAGTTTTAATAGAGAAATTGTCAATCAAAGCAACACAATATCCTGGTGTTAACTCTGGTTTTAGAGCTGAGCTAGAAACACTACCTGCCAAATTCTTAATTCAGTCCCTTGCCAGCTTATTTCTGGAGAGGGGAAGACTGAAGACTTGAACCCAAGTCTTTGGCAGAGCAGTGAAGAAACACTTGATTATTCCTTTTTGTCTGTTTTTTGTGTGTAATTCAGTGTCTTAAGACTCTTCCGCATTTGCGGGAGCCTTTCAGAGCTTCTCTTTTGAAGAAGCAACAAGTTGTGTTTCAGAAGTGGGTGTCTGATGCTTCCAGAAATCCCAATTCCCTCCTCATTTGAGGCACTCCCAACAGTGAAGCAAAGGTGGTGCTCATAGGTCTGGCTGGCTCCATCTTTGGAGGAAATAATGATGTTTAATGCTTCAAATAACCCCTGGGGTGGTTTCAGACCTGTGTCATTCCATGGAGAGCACCTTGCTACCAACACCTGTGGATTGTGGGCTGCCCAAATGGCCCAGATTTCATGTGAAATCCTTAAATTTTATTTTATTTTTTTGTTTTATTGAGAGGGATGAGGATGGTGAAAAGTTTGGTCACTAGACACAATTCTTGTGTAATGTGGTTTCACCACACATGCTTCAGTCCTTCAGACACCTTACCTGTGGCTAAAGTACCTAGCTGAGTTCTGCCAAAAAT